GTCTTCCCTCCTCTTTTAAAAGGCCTGGGTCTGCTCCCCAAGGAACCCCAAAAGCCCTAAAAGGAATCCTCGTCTTTCCTCTTTTGTTAAAGGCCTGGGTCTGCTCCTGTTCCTCCTGCAAGAGCTCGAAACGGGGGCCAAAGTCGCCCACCAGGCGAAAGGGTTCCTTTTAAAGGGGTTCATAGTGTTAAGGTTTAATTAGTGGTTTAGGGTTTAGGGTTCAGGGTTTAGGGTTGGGGTTTAGAGCTTAGGGTTTAGGAAAAAGGAACACCAAAAGCCCTTAAAGGAAGCCCCGGAACCACTTAAAGGAACCCTAAAGCCTAAAGCCCCTTAAGGGTTCCTTTAAAGTAGTTAGGGTGTTCCCAATTTAAGGTTTTGGTCGAGGGTTCCGTGTAAAGGCTTCTTGTAAGGACATTTTCGTCCATTAAGGGCTCTATCGTGCTGGAAAGGTTTTCGGGGCTTAGAGTCTAAGGTGCTGGGTTCCTTTGATTTACTACGGTTGATGGAAAAATCCTGCATTACCTTATGGGCCCTAAACTATGGGAATTATGGTGAGCCATGCAGAATTTTGGGCATCAACAATATGTATCTTTTGGGGGCCTTTTCTGTCGTGGTTGCCCGAAAGATTCCGGCCGGTGGTGTTTCTTTTTTGGTTTAGGGTTTAGGGGTTAGGGTTTCAGGGTGTAGGGTTTAGGGTTTTAGGTTTAGGGTTTTAGGTTTAGGGTTTAGGGTTTAGGGTTTTAGGGTTTTAGGGGGCATGGAGGCTGTTCGACGGGCGGAGGGGTTCTTCAGGCCTCGATGAGTCGTTTGCAGCTCTGGATCCCGGAACCCGAGCTCGATAAAACCAGGCCTTTGATCCTTTCTAGAAAACCTGGCAAAACCTAGTTTTTCTAGAGAAACCTAGTAGAAAAAACATGGCCTTTGATCCATGCAAAACTCCTTGGTTCTACGCGTGGCTGTTTGTGGCGCCGTTCGTTCCTGCGGGGTTAGGGTTGAGGGGTCTAGGGTTTCGGCCATAGGGCCTACCAGACTTCAGAGTTGAGTGTTTTGGGATTCGGGTTCGGGTTTTCAGGTATAGGCTCCTTTTAGAGGGGCTTTGAAGGCATAGGCCGTGTCTTCTTTCGGCCGTTTTGACTATGTTTGAACCTCAAGACGGCCCCTAAACCCCCGAAGCACCGAAACCCCGTAAACCCTAAACCCTCAACCCTAAACCTTTTTGAGAGCTTTGGGAGGTCCTGCTGCGGAACCAGCCTGGCAAGGAGCCCGCTTTGGTTTAGGGTTGAGGGTTTGGGATTGAGGGTTTGGGGTTTAGGGCTTAGGGTTGAGGGTTTAGGGTTTAGGGTTTGGGCTTGAGGGTTTAGAGCTGGAAGGTCTTGAGGGTTGTGGTTTGGGGGGCTTCGTTCCACCCTAAACCCTCAACTTTTTGGTTTCTGTACAAACTTCGTCCAGGGATGTTTCTCGATCTGGAAGGGTTGGGGTTGAGGAATCTTGAGGGGTCGGTTGTAGGGCTGATATGATAACCTTGAGGAACCTTGATAGAACCCTCTCACATCCAAAACCCTGAGACTCTCGACCAAAACCTGATCAATAAGCCCCATGACCACAAATGCCACGCTTCCGAAACATTGAACCGAAACCGCTGCAGAACCCACCCACAGAAGATTCTGAAACGGCCTGTTCAAAATTTGCTTCCCGCAGAGAAGGGTTCAGAATTTGCGGTCCCTGTAAGCCCCGGATTGTAGGGTAGTCTCGACGCAATAGAGCACTATGACAAGGAAGCTTGACGGATCTCCCAAACATCATAAAAGCCCCAAAATGCTCCACGCATTGCGGCCCTCCCCCTAAACCTGCAACCCTAAACCCTGAACCTAAAATCCGAAACCCAGAATCCGAAACCCTAGACCCTGAACTCTAAATCCGAAGCCCTAAGCCCTAAACCCTAAATCCTAAACCCTAGACCCTAAACTCTAAATCCGAAGCCCTAAGCCCTAAACCCTGATCCCCAAACCGATCTCGCCGCAGGATGAAAACCTCTACACCGTCCTCGTCGCCTGCATCGGCAGCGAGGAGGATGAAGACTGCGACGAGTTTCAGGTGCAACAAATCCCACGCCCTGCAAGCCATATTGTTGGTGCATCACCCAGAATAAGGAATATACCACCCATAATAAGGAATATATCACCCATAATAAGTAGTTTATCACCCACAATAAGGAATATACTGTATACCACAATTATTCCATAATTCCCATAGCCTAAGGCAGTGCATGATTTTGTCCATCACCAGCAGTGCGTTAGCAAGAGGTGGGGGGCGTTGGGGTGGGCTATTGCTGTGCATGTGCAGAATATTACAAAGGATTCCTGCAGTCCCCTTTTAATTATGTTTTGTAGTTTGGGGCTTCTGGGTTGTAAAGGGCTTTCCAAGACAGGCTCAGCCCAAAGCAGGCTCAGCCCAAAGCACTGCTCCCAACACCCTAAAGCCTTAAACCCTTATCCATAAACCCTAGATCCTAAGCCTTAAACCCTAAACCCTAAACCCTGAACCCTGAACCCTAAACCCTGAAACCCTGAAACCCTGAAACCCTGAAACCCTAAACCCTAAACCCAGAAACCCTAAACCCTACATCCCTAAACCCTAAACCCTAAATCCCCAAGCCGTAGGCACGGGCGGCTCACTTGGTCATCCGATCGCTGCTCTCTGCGGCGAAGGCCGGGTGATCGGGGGTTTAGGGGTTTAGGGTTTAGGGTTTTAGATTTAGGGTTTAGGGTTTTAGATTTTAGGTTTTAGGGTGTAGGGTTTAGGGTTTAGGGTTTGGGGTTTAGGGCTTAGGGTTTAGGGTTTAGGGTTTAGGGTTGGGGATTTAGTGACGTTGTTGATCATGGAAGAAGTCTTGTTTATATTTATGTCATTTCTTCCTCATGTGATCATGAATGTGTGTTTATCAGGTACATTGTTATCATTATTATTTGTATGGTTATGATTATTATATTTTATTAATACTGCTACTGCTACTCCTACTACTACTACTACTACTAATAATAATAACTACTACTACTACTACTACTACTACTACTACTCCTACTCCTACTCCTACTCCTACTCCTACTCCTACTGCTTATCCTAAATGCCATTTGGCTTTCTGACCAAAATCTTTCGAGACCGCGCTTTTGTGCGTCGTCCAATCTCCTCTAAGCCTCCCAAAGAAGGATCTCTCAACCCTCAAAATTGTCTCAACATCCACTCTTAAACTGGAAAAAGAACCTCTCTATGAAATGCATTTGGAACAAAGAAAGTGCTCTTTGAAAGCAAACAAACAGAAGAATAAACGTGTTTGCAAATTAGAAGACATTTTGTAAAGCGACATTTTGTAAAACAGAGAACTTGAGAAGAAGAAAAAGCAAAAGAAAATGAAAAATAAAATGTTGCTTTGTGAAGCAAACAAACGCAGACAAATGGAACTGCGTCTTTTCAACTCCGATGACGCTCTTTGGGAGTCTTGGAAGACAGGAGAGCAGATTTTGTACGCAGTGCTGCAAGACACAAAAAGAAAAGCATCTGCCAGCAGCTCGTCCAGGTTCTAGCAAATTTTGAGAGGTTGAGGTCTCATTTGCTGAACACCTTCTTAGAGTTGATTATGAAATTCCGAAATCCAGCTCTAAAGTTCTAACCACGCCGACCAACGCCTTAGTAGAAATTTTGCAAGCTTCCGTGGTTTGCTTTCTCCAACCGTTGAACAATTCCTCTGACTTGAACGATATGTTTTTTCAAGATCTGCTAGATCCTTTTCAACAAAGTGCAACCTCACTGCAAGTTCAACTCTCACCAACAACTATTGTTTTTGAAGCTTTACCTCATCTTGGACGCACTGACCAAATGCAAAGATGGAACCAAATCTGCAGACAATTTGAAACACAAGACGGCCGCAAACAGTAAGATTGGAATTTTGTAATTTGCAATGACACTGTCACAGATGTTGCAGTGGTGCGGCTCTGTTAGCTTTGGCTAACGAGTTCTTTTGAAACGTTACCTCAGACACAGAGCTCAAATGGGACAATGACTTCTCCAGCTTCGTGTTTTTGCGTGATACAAGCACACGAGCAGCATGATCAGATGCGTGCAGGGTTGGAGAGGACGCAGTCTTTCTATTTCGAATTTGACTCGAACTTGCACATTCCACGTTGCTGTTTGAAGAGTGCACTCCTGAAGGCGTTTCGCTGGAATAATAGTGGTGTTGTTTTGTCAGGCTAACTGCAACTGCTCGAACTCAAGGTAAGGTCTGAGCGTTTTTTCGCAGAGGTGATCCGTGCTCTTTGTTCCGCCTTGAGCTCAACGTGGCCTCGAGTCTTTGAATGCCATGCGAAGCCAGCTGCAGGCAGTTTGATTGCAGTCTGCATCACTTTGCCAAAGCACTCACGTTGCAGTGAGTCGAATCAACCACGTTTCGCTTACTCCGTCCGTCTGCGTTTCACGCAAAGCAAAGCGCGTTGCAAGTTGCTCGAAGCAATCGCATTCACTATTTGCTTGCTCCGTCCGTGATCCTCCGCATGCGGACAAAAACTGCACCAAGTTGTACTTACTCAACGGAAGCTCTGAGGCTGCATCTTCGACCGGTTCAATGTCAAAGATTCGAGATCGGATCAGAGGTTTCAGGTCGAACGGAGGTTCCAGATTGGAGGTCGGAGAGTTGGAGCTCGCCTCGGTCTTGAGCGCTCTGTTGTTGGAAGGGACCTCGCAGAGCCGAAGCTGTTCCTCGTAGTAAGTCGAACTCTTTCTCAAGGATTCCCAATCGGAGCTGTTGCCATGCAAGACAACATACTGCCTTACTTCAAACCCAAGGGCTTGAAGCAAAACACTGCATCGATCTGCTTCCGACAGCTTGAGCTCTGGAAAATTCGACAGCTTTGCTTCTGCTCGTGAAAACTCCAAACAGCAACCGGAGAGTAGTCTTCGTTTACGTGCCGCTGTGCCACTGGATCTGGGGTGGCGGATGGATCGCTGAAATGGGCACCAAGGACTTTAGCTGTTCCTGAAGCAGAGCGTGTCGTGGAGTGAGTCTGAGTCTTGTTCGCAGCTAGCTTCGTGCCAGGACTTTGCCGGTGGCACGGTGGTCCGCATCAGTTCCGGCACCTCAGCCTTTGCACTGGCATCGCTGTTGGGTGCACGCAAGGAGCGGGCGGAGAGCTTCCCGGCGAACCTGCCGTTCGTGATCCTGGGCGGCGGAATTCTCTGGCTCGGGTGGACCGGCTTCAACGGCGGCTCTGCCTTCGCGGCCAACGGCGACTGTGGCCTGGCTATCGCCACCACATATGTCGCAGCAGCGGCGGCGATGGTGATGTGGATCACCGTGGAGCGCATTCTGGACGGCGCCCCCACCTCGATCGGCGCCATGTCGGGTGCGGTAGCGGGATTGGCAGCTTAGCCGGACGAGCTGCAGTTTTCAACTCTGCTCGGGCATGTCGGGCGCTCCGGCCCGCACGAAACAGAGACCCCAAAAACCCCAAGAGCAAGCGAATAGCGAACTTAGGCACACGCTCAGATTTTCTAACTTGTTTTGGAAAAGCTCTACGAAGGAAGGACCTTGTCCCAAGATGCTCCAAAATAGCCGGAGCTCTGAGACCTTGAGGTGAACATTACTCCCTGCGCCGGCTTCGTGGAGCCTTTGGGTGCTTTGGGCGTCGGCGCCATTGGAGCCCTCTGCTGTGTCTTTGCAGCTCGTGGACTGAAGAAGCTGAATTTGGTGGACGACTCTCTGGATTGTTTCTCGCTTCATGGCGTGGGAGGTTTCGCAGGGGCCATCCTCGGCGGCTTCTTTGACCTCGGGGACGGGCTGATCTACGGCGGCGACGGGCTGCTGCTGGCAAAGAACCTGGCTGGCGCTGCCTTCGGCGTGGTCTACTCTGCTGCTGTCACGGCTGTGATCTTCGGCTTGATGCGCGTGGTCATGCGCATGAGGGTCTCGGAAGAGCAAGAGCTTGAAGGCAGGTGCTTGTGGTGCGATCTGACAGTGGTGCATGGTGGCATGCTATGGCATGCTGGTGCTTGTTGTGCGACAGTCACGTGTGTTCCTTGAGGCCATGTTGATCCATGTTGAGTCAGTGAAACCTTCGTGCATCGTGTCGGCAGCGTCGGCAGTGTCGGCTGCAGGCGTCGATATCAACTGCCACTCCAAGGCCAGCTGCAGAGAAAGCAGATGTCGGCAACAATGTTGAGTCCGAGTCTGCGTTTGCGTATGGCATGGCTTGTCTTGTAGAGGCTGCCTACGGCAAGACCGAGGGCTTCGGCGAGCACTCCCATCGCATGACGCCCGAGACCGCGGAGACTGCCCCGACCCTGCTGACCGTCCCATCACCCCGCGGACCCCGCAGGCCTTCGCAGAGAAGCCCACGGAAGTCGGAGCATGTCTCCTCCACAGAGAAGCCCACGGAGGTCTGAGCATAATTATCTGAGCCGCAATCTGCAAAACCGAATTGGCCACTTTTTGGCCCGGTCTTTCCAGCGAGTGCAGGGAGTGCAGCCACATGTGCATTTTGCAAGCCAGCCTGCGGGCTCCTGGAGGACGCGTGGCCTTGTATAGGGCGTTATAGGGGGCTTCTGCAGGAAACCCTTATGGGAGTTTCCGAAAATACGGGATACCTTATTTTGGGGTCCTTATAAAAAGGATCCTATTATTTCGGGTATTTACTATATTAGGGTCCGCTATTTTCGGAAACCCCCGTATAAGCTTATTAGGCCAGATGACAACCGTCTGCAGGGACGTCTGCAACCCCCAAGCCGGCAGGGATCGACACCCAGCTCGGGCCGCGCTTGCAGAGTTTTGGACAGCTGAAAAGGGTCACTGCACTGGGTGCTTGCCTCTTTAACTTGTCCATGAGCATCCATGGAGCATCCATGAGCTGAGCCAAATAAGATGTTCGACGGCAGCGGCATGTCTTGCATGCGAAAAGGTGATGCTCTACAGATCCGTCACAGGCCAGTTCGCGGCCCGGAACGCTGCTGCAGCCGGGTGCCCAGCACAGGGTGACTAGAGAGCAATGTCAAAAGCACCTGATATCTGCTGCCGACGACTGTGTTGAATGCATTTTCTGCCTTTCCAGGACTTTACTCTCGTCCTTCCCTGGGAGCACATGCCGCAGCCTCAGCTCAAGCTTAAGTCCTTTCGCTGCAGGCTGACAACGAGGCTGTCGGTCGAAGGTCCGAAACTCCCAGCCAGCGACAAGATTCTTGATTGTAACATTTAGCGCTTTGCTGTAAGTGTTCTTGGTATTGCCAAAGCCGTTCATGCGCGAAGCCGGCCGACAGCCCCCGCAAGTCTAGTTTAGTATGTAGTACTGTACGTGCATCAGGCCTCTTTTTTGAGAGTCCTTATAGGAACCTAGAAGGGTTTCTATCAAGGTACTATACGGTGGCTGGATGCGCGCGGTTAGAGAGAAAACCCTGCGCGCGGCTAGAAAAAAGCAGAGCGCAGTTAAGATGTCGTGTTTTTAACGTGGTTAAGAAATCACTCCCGAAGCCGGCTGGACGCAACTTCAAGCCTACAAGTCCAGGACAATTCCCATCATCATTCTATGAGTCTTCGTCTTACAAGGGTTTAGGGCCTAAAGACTTGGATCCTCAATGTCAACTCCAACCCACCCCCATAGGTGCGCGCCCTAAACCCGAAACCCTAAACCCTAAACCCCCCAAATTCCTAATGGCCTTCATAGTGCCAGTCCAAGTCCAAAAGGCCGGCTTTAGGGCTTTTGGGGCTGTAGGGTTTTGGGGCTCTAGGGGCTTTAGGCCTTTATGGTTTTTGGGTTGAGGATTTTAGGTGTTTCGGGTTTTAGGCTTGTAGGCCTTGAAGGGTTTAGGGTTTTGAGTGCTGCTGGAGGGTTGCGTTGCTGTCTTGCGGAGTTTCCCGGCTGATTGCGAGAGTCCTGGATGCAAAAGGGCTAGGCTTTAGCCCCAAACCCTGAACCCTTCAAGGGTTGCTCTCAGGATTTCTAGAAGGCTTTCTGGCCGGGTTTCTATCCGGGCTGCTATAAGTTCTATAAGTTACTATGCGGGTTGCTACAAGTTTCTATAAGGGCGACTGGAGGGGTTATTACAAGTTGCTATGGGGGAAAGTTTCTGGGTCATTGTATGTCATTATGCGTCACCTACTACAAGACCCCAAACCCTAAATCCCTACACCCGAAATCCTAAACCCCTACACCCTAGGCCGTAAACCCTACAAAACACTACACCCCTACACCCTAGAAATAAGCCTTAGACATAGACCCTAAATCCATGACAGGGGGTCCCCTTGAGCACCCCTTAAAGGGTACCTTATAACGGAAGTCTTCAAGGCACCCTACTACAAGTTTAGGGTTTAGGGGGGGCGAGCTCAGTTCAAGCCTGTGGAAAAGGGGTTTAAGGTACCCTTTGAGGGTTGCTTTCTCTTTGGATCCCCTGCAAAGAGTCCCGTCTGTGACGGCTCCTGTAAGGTCTCCTTTCAAGGTCCACCTTAAGGGATCCTTACAGGAACCCCATGACAACGGTCCCTTTTAAGGACCCCTGAAAGGAGCCCTAGAAAGGAACACCCTAAACCCTAAACCCGATAGGAGCCCTAGAAAGGAACCCTTGAAGGAACCACAGAAGGTCCCCCCCCTAAGGGTTGCTTTCTGGTTTTCTTCCGAGACCCCGCGGCTCCGTGAGGAAACTGCAGTTTGCCCCAAGGCCGCGCGCCAGTGTCGGGGCTTCCTGCTAGGTTTTCATCATTGTGGGGCTTCGGGTTTCAGGGTTTCTAGGGCTTCTTTAGGGGATTTTGGGGTTTGCGGTTTTTTTGGCCTCTCAGTGGCTGGAACATCCTTTCGAGTCTTAGATGTTGGAATGTGATATTTGCAATGGCCAGTGGCTGGATCTCCAGTTTGTGCCTAGCCTTGCCAAATGCTTTCAGGACCCCCTTATTGTTGAACACCATCGGCACAAAAGCATCACTGCGCATGCTGCGGGTTTCCTGGGACCCCCCCGGAGAAGCATCTGAAAGGGTGGCGGTGTGGCTCCAAAAACGGATGAGCGTATGTGTCGGTATTGTGCTGGTGATCAGCGCGTGCTGATCAGCACATGCTTGGACTTGGACGTGTTCGTTTTGATGGTGGAAGGTGAAACGAACTGTATTGATGACTCTTGTCAGAATCGTTGTTTGGATCAGCGTTCTCTTCCTGTTAGTAGTTTGCGGTTGTGCAATTGCACGGCCAACACTCGGACTTGGACTTGGTTGTTTGGAGGCTGAAATGTGATACGGTGAGTGCTTTGACAGTTGCCTCAAAACTGGAACATAAGGTGAGCTGTTGTCAATTTGTTTCCAGATTGCTCTGTGGAGTGGTTAGCACGAAATGATGAGTGTTCAGCAGGCGTTAGTTGTGCCGTTGAACGCCAATGCTTGTATTGTGATGCTTGAGTATGACACGAGCAGTCGCTGGATGTCCTCTGCATTCTGAGCTTTGGTCGACGGTAATGTGCGCTTGCACGGCGAGTGCTGTGACTTTCATTGTTCTGACGTTGGAATGTGAAATGAGTGAGGTTTCGGAATGGTTTGTGTGGAGCATTGTCTGGGTGAGGGTTACAACAGGCTGGAATGTGAGGTGACTCGCATAAGTCTGGAGGGTGGAGTGGTTAGCGCGCAGCGAGGAGTGTCTGAATGTCACAGCAATACATATGCTTTGATGTGTCAACTTGAAAGGAAGAGTGGCTGTAGCTGGATGATGCGCTGGAGTCTGGAAGGTGCAGCGATAAGGGTGGATCCATGGAGGTAGGGTTTGCGTTTGGTTGAGGGTATTGGCTGACGAATGTACACATGGGGTGCTGTAGTACTTCTGCAGTTTGTGCCTCTACATTTCCCAGGCTCGCCAAATGTTTTGAGGACCACCTCATGGACTAGTGACTAGGTTGTGTTGACACTCTTTGTTTCTCTGGAGCAGTGGTTCGTTTGCGGTTCTGAGTCTGACATGGTCGTGCTGCGGCGTGGTCGATGCTTGGATTCGAGCTGGCTGTTTTTCGGCTGGAATGTGACATGTGCCGTGCTTTTGACGAATGCCTTGTAAGACTGCTTTGCTGCTTTGCAAGGTGAGCAGTGGCTGGATGACTGTGGGAGTATTGATGAATGTTAAATAGCGAGTGCGTGAGGAATGGTAGGTGTTTTGCAAGTGATGCTGCATTTGTGCCGTTAAACGGCACATGCTGGACTTGGACTTGGTTGTTTTTCGGCTGGAACGTGAATGGTGCGGTGCTTTCGCCCTTTGGCTTAGGACTGGAACTTACGGTGAGCAGTGGTTGGATGTGGGGGGTACTGAATGTCTGGGTGACCCCTATGGCCCTATGAAACTCTACGTATACCGTATACACCCCTATCTCACCCCAATCTTTGCGCTTTTGCGTCGCCGACAGGAGCTAAGCTTGTGGTGAGCCTAAAGTAAAACCACCGAAGGCTTTTTGAGCTGCATGTGGACGGCAGGATCCTCGCACGGGATTTTGAGCTTAGGCCTAGGATCAGTCAGCAGGCGTTTTTCATCGATGAAGACCCTGTCGCGCTTGCAGCTTTTTCTCACGTATCCGAGCACCATTTAGCTGACATTTGACCAGATGTTGCTGGCGTGCTTTGCTTGTGGCAGCAAAGGACATTTCAGGGTTCAGGGTTTAGGCAATGCCCTCGATGCCCAAGCTTCACATCTAGCAATCCCCTTTTAGAACTGGTCCCAAGTTTGAAGAAAGGTATGTTCAACATTGTCCAAGCTGACAACAGTGGTTATGTCTGAGGCTAAGGGTTGCATTGTTTGAGATGTGTTGAAGGATGCGCGGGTTGGCTTGTTTCGGGGCTTTATAAAGTTTGGAAGGCCGGTAGATAGTCTTTAAAGCCTCTAGCGGATGTAGTGCAAATCTACAAATCTTGTTGTTTTCAAGGGGTACGGGGTCTCTGTACTGTCAAGCCGCTGAAAGATGCCTATATAATTGGGTGTTGAATTTCCTGGCCAGCGAACAAGCTATGCGTGGCGTTGCCTTAGGCATAGCTTTCGTGTGTAGAGGTCGCACTACTTTGGGCTGAGGGTTTGCAGGTGAACTCCATTACGCTGTTTTGGGATGGCTTGTGGGTTATGAAGGCCAGTATCGAGCTTGGTTGTGAGTAGTTTGTGACGTGATCTGGCGTTTACATGCACCAGGCATTGCAACCATCCTGCTCGTTTGAGTACTTGTGGTTATTGTGATTGAATTATACCAGTATTCGTCCGGTGTAGGTACATGATTCTCAGGTGCTTGGACACTTTGGGCTCACGTATGCTGACAGTCTGCGGGCTCTCGTGGTGATTAAGAGCCGCCTAGCATTCAGGTAAGATTACTGTATGTACTGCACTTCCCCTGGTAATGCCTATCTAATTTTCTATCTATCCATCCATCCATTTATCTATCTATCCATCTAT